CCCCCCCCCCCAGCCTTCACCTCCCCGCTTGGGGGGAAAATCCGTCCATCGGTGCAAAGCAGACATTTTGATATCATTTGCTTAGCACCGCTCCGCTTTGGAGGCAGCATCTTACCAATCGCCTGGAGGTGTGCGAAGCGCACCGAGGCTCCGAGGGTGCGAGGCTGGGCTGCTCAGTCCTCTATCGGAGCCGGTTCGCTGCCATCCGCCCAACTTCAGCACCCAGCGGGCGAGGAGAGAGGGAGAGAGGCGAGGACGGGGGAGGGGGAGGGGGTGGAGGCTGGGTGGGTGGGGAGGGAGCGGAGCCGGTCACAGCGCGCATGCGCCACGCGGACAGGCGCAGCCCCTCGCCCCGCGAGGCCGGAGGTGCCGCTTCTTCCCCCGGCGCGCGGCCCTGTGAGTCACGGCCCCGCCCCCTCCGCGCCCCCGCGGCGCCCCCGCGGCCTCCGCCCTCGCGCCCGCCTGGGGACGAGCCCTCTGCTCAGAGGGACGGGCCCGGCTCTGCTTTGGCCGCGAGGGTCCGGAGCTTGCGGGAGTCCCGGAGCCCCCAGCCTTCCTGGAGGAGAAGTGCTGCCGTGCGGAGGCCCCTTCAACTTCACTTCCCCGTAGCCCGCGTCCTGTGCGCCGGGCCTCCGAGCGTGGCGAAGGCGCACTGCATCGCTGCAGCCTTGGGCTCCTGGGGGAAGCGGTCCTGCGTGGGGTTCAGGAAAGTGTGAAGTTAAACAAGTTTTGCTTGCCTAAGGACTCAACTTGTATGAACAGTCCTTTATTTACTCCCTTGCCCAGAGATAGGACTCTTTTCCCTAAGGATTCTTTTTATATATATTAATTTACTTGGTACATTTTAGGTATACAATATAATGACATTCGTCATTGGAGATATGCACCTTTACATAATCTATCTTGGTTCTTATTTTTTTCCCCTTCCCCTGCCCTCCCTTCAACCCCTCCACCCCTCCCAATCTACAAAGCCCTTGTTTCCCTTTTTTCTTTTTCTCACATTAATTCCATTCCCTTCTTTCTTTCCCCCTACCCCTCCCACTTCCCCTTCCCATTTTCAGATGCCCTCTGGTCCAGGCGTTTGCGCTGTCCGGGACACTGGAGCTCTGGTGCTGGAATTGTGAGTGGGAAGCAGATGACAAGGCAGTTGAGAAGTTAGTAAAGCATCCGTAGGGGAAGCTTGGTAGCTCTCAGGTCTGATAACTGTTCTGCTCCCTGGCTAGCCCAGCGCGATGGTGAAGGAGCTTCAGATACCTACTGCATCCTCAACCCTAGACTGCGTCCTCGATGATTAAATTGAAATACTTTTGAGGGGGAAGCAGGGAAGTGGATGTCTTTCTATTCAGATACCACATCTGTGGGAAGAGGAGTGAGTTTCTGCAGGAATGATTGGACACTTTCCTTACAGCTAGTTAAAACTGATTACTTGTAAATATATACGATTCCCCATGGCTTGGGTGCTCTTATGTGCAAACACTGTTACCATTATTTCAGCCTACAGGACATCCACCACCACCACCACCACCACCACCACCACCATCATCAACACAGGTTTCAATTAAATATGTTGCCGGGGTTGCTCCCGCACTACTCCCTTTAGCTATGTCATCCACAGCTTTAAGTACTAATGTTCTTAAAAGTGTATTTCCTGGTCATCATCTGCAAACTTTTGTTTTGCTGGTCTGTAATAGGAGATATTACAGATACTGAGAGTAAGATTTAGACACCTTTATAGCAACTTGACATTGCGAAGGCACACAAAAACATTAGTAAGTTGTACTTTGGACATTTTATTTGTAAGGTAATTCAGTTTTTGTGGGGATTTACAAAAGTATTAGTCTTGCTCCTTTCAGGTCTATATTTTAAAAATGTCACAGACTGGGTGACTTACAAGCAAGAGAAATGTGTTTCCCACTGTACCGGAGACTGGGAAGTCTATGGTCAGGATGTAGGCAGGTTAGGTACATGTTGAGAGCCCAGTTCTTGGCTAGTGCCCTCCTATCTTTTCACTCTGTCTTGATATGGTAGAAGGCAGCAAGGGAGATTTCTGATGTGACTTTATAAAGGCACTAATCACATTCATAAGGGCTCCTTCCACTTGACATAATCACCTTCCAAAGGTACCACCACACTATTTTGAGCGCTAGGATTTGTGAGGGACATAAGCATTCAGTTCATTGTACTGTTGGTCCATAATGGATTAAAGAAATATTCTCCATAATAGTTTGAGTAGTGGTGAATCCCATATGACACCTACATTTATTATCTTCATTTTTAACCTTTCACAATTATTTTCTGTTCTCACCTACCTTTACCTGAAGAATCATAAGAGCTAATATTAATTGAACAGTTACTTCCTGCCTGGTACAGATCTAAATTCTTTTTCTATATTTTTAAAAATTCTCTCCACAACAATGCTGCAAGGTAGGTACTATTATTATCATGTTTAACAGGCATCTGAGAAGCAGAACTCCGGATATCCACCCCCTCCAAACCTGTTCCTCTTCAAATTCTTCCACCCAGTTACTCAATCTAAAAATGTAGAAATCATCCGTGTTCTGTCTCTTCTCATTCATCTCTGCACCCAGTTAATTAGCAAGTCATGTTTTCTCCACCTCCAACTACAATTTTTTTGTTTGTTTTCCTCCCTTTCTGTTGTTATGACCTTGATCCAAGGTACTCTCGTTTCTTAGCTAGACAACTCAGAAGCCTTCTATTTTGTCTCCTTGTTTCTCCCCCTTAACCTGAAACACGCAATCCAAACAACAGCTGATTGGTCTTCTAAAAACATAACCAGATCTTGCTGTGTGTTTGGTGAAAACTCTTCAATAGGTTTTCATTGCACTTTAAATACAGCCCATAATCCTTACTGCAGCTTAGAATGTTCCGCATAATATTGTTGCAGCCTCATTTGCTTATGCCACACTCCTACAGTCCATAGCTAAGTGTATTCTAGTCACATAGGACGACTTCTTTCACTGTCTTGAATGAATCTCATTTATAATATTTGCTGGTCTTTTTTCCTGGAATCCTCTCCATTTATTTATTTATTTATTCATTCATTCATTCTTTCTTTCTTTCTTTATTTTGGTACCAGGGATCGAAATCGGGTCCTTGCACTTGCGAGGCAGGTGGCAGAACCACAGCTAAATCCCTGGCCCTCCCTTTATATCTTTACATAGCAGGTTCTTTGATATCAGGCAGGTGTAGGTTCATGTATCACCTTCGCAGAATGACCTGACGTGACTACATCATCTAATCAGTTCCAGTAAATCAAAGACTTCGTTTCTTTTGGATCCCCATTTTATATTCTTTAAAATACTTTTCACCATCTGAATAATATTGTTTACTACTATATCTTTCCTATCCTCTGCTAGAATAAAATATCTTAAAAGATTTGCCTTCACTTTTTATTGTTTCATTTGTAGCACCTAGAACAAAATTTGAAACATAGTACATGCTTAGTAAATACTGAATGAATGAATGAAGAGGTTACTTACAAAAAGTATTCTTTATTTTTTGCTGATGGTTCTTCCATTGCTGCCCGTGAGGATATGTTGTTTCTCAAAATGTGGATAGATTGCCTTGTTTCCTGTGCCCAGCCTATCAAAGATGGCTTCATGCAGTGGCACACGCTTAAACTAAATGCCAGGATAAGGTTTCAATAACCAATTTTAAAACAAAGGTACAGGATAAAAATGGAATTCTTACCTCTTGGCATTCCCCTAAATTGCAATAATGCCTCTTTGGGCAACTTTTTACACATGACTACTTAGCTATTCTACCGTTCCTTTACTTGCTAAAATCAAATATAACCTCTTGGCAATTTTCTTTCATCATTGTGCTTTTTTTCTCTCTCTCTTTTTTGTTTTTAGTAATCCTTGGTGCATTAGCCAGAAATTTTTTTTTAATTCTTTTATTCGTACATTGTAGATATACAACACAATTACATTTCTCATTGGGAACTTGTACCTTTACATGATGCATCTTAGTTTTTAATTTTTCCCCATTCCTAGCCCTCCCTTCAACCCCTCCACCCTTCCCTATTTACAGAGACTTTATTTTCATTTTTTCATTTCTCATCATTTTTCCTTTCCCTTCTTTCCTTTCTCCTGCCCCTCCCACTACCCCTACCCCTTTGGACATTTTCTTCCTATTTTGCATTATCGATTATTCATTCTAATCATTGGTACATTTTA